TGATGTGATGAGACCTCGTTGCTGAGCGTCTGCTCGCATCAGCGCTCGATGAATAAATGGATGAGTGTGGTTACCGTCGCAGTCAGAAGGCCGCTTCTTCTTACTGCAGTTATTAAATCATTTCTTTGTATTTTGGGGGTCACAACGAGAGCCGGAGGTCTGCAGTGTTTTTTCACGTGTGTGCGAACGAGGTCGGCGTGGAGCTCCCAGCGGGTGCCTCGCCGCTCGTACGTGTTTGTGCTGTTTGCAGCTCTGCGAGGTGCTTCAGTCACGGCTCGCCCAGCAGGGAGGTTATGTTGAGGAATGCGGCCAAAGAGTCGAGCTTGGCTGAGCAAACGCCACATCAGCCTCGCTCTCTCGCTGCCTCCTCGCCTCCCTGCCTCGCTCATCGTCGTCTCTTTGTGCAGCGAGGCGGCACGGCCGGTTCCCGCGCTGCACGACTGACTCTGGCTGAAGGTGATCGGGTCACGTGTCGCTGACAGAGTCGCTGGACTCTTGGTTTAGATCGTCCAGTGAGCAGCTGAGGATTAAATGTCTTTAACCGTGTTTCTCGCCTGTTTAGGACGAGGAAGACTCCTTTGTGATGAAGGCCATCATCCACGCCATAAATGACGACAACGTGCCGGGTCTGCAGCATCTCCTCGGCTCGCTGAACAACTACGACGTGAACCAGCCCAACAAGGTGACGCACAGACACGCTCAGCTCGTCCCTGGTGAACCAATCAGAAGCAGTGACGCAGAAGCACCTCTGTCAGCGTCTTTATTCAAAGCTGAATACATCAAAGTGAAGCAGGCGCCACCCCGTAGGAACGCTGGCTCAGTGGGAGCAGCGTTTTATTAAAAACTAAAGATCTCAGTTATTCCACTGCAGGTACGTCCCACAGTGGGCTGGATTGCACCGCTGTGCTCCAGATTCAGATGAATCATGCAAATAATTTGAGAAATTATTCAGTTGTTGTGCAGCTTCGTGTTGCATAATGATGTTTGTGATGATGTTTGATCCGGCTCTGCTCGACGCAGAGAGCCGATTGGCTGTCAGAGTTACATGTCTGAGCTGTGCTCCACACTGTGGACGGGAATCCCGCTTTCATATCCGAGGCAAAACGTAGCAAAGTGAAATATACATCCAGGAAAAGTCCCTGACACAAACATCCCTCGACTTTATTAACCGCTGATCCAACAAACCCCCAACGCCTACAAACTCCTGACAGATTAAAAGTTGATTTAAAAAATAAATTGAAAGCTTGAATCTTGGATGTTGTTTCAAAGATCTCCATAAAAATCTTTGTGTCTTTTCCATATTTATTTAAAGCTGCCAGCATCCCAGAAACTAGGTCGTCCCGTCCTCCAAACACAACAGAAGAAAAACAGGAAAAATGCCAGCCTGACGTTTTAAATGCTGACGTCCCACAGAGCGTGTTCCCACAGAGCGTGTTCCCACAGAGCGTGTTCCCACAGAGC